CTGTCCAAGAAGAGTGATGTGGCTGAAACAGTGAAGACCGATTGGTTGCCGATGGTGGAGCGGCAACAAGACCGGTTAGTGAAGGCAATTCACACCGATCGAGGGGGAGACTTCCTGAGCAAGGAGTTCTCATTGTGGCTGAAGAAGAATGGCATAAGGCACTCCCTTACCATGCCATACTCCCCTGCAATGAACGGAATCGCCGAGCGAGCGAACCGGACAATCACGGAGACGGCGCGCGGGTTGCTCATTGAAGCCGGGCTACCAGACTATTTCTGGCCTGATGCGGTGCGGAGTGCATGTGTGGCCAAGAACAGAGCTTTGACTCATGTTGGAGCAGACAAATGGGTGCCCTATGTGGAGTGGATTGGAAGGAAGCCAAAGGTGGATATGCTTCGGGTGTTCGGGTGCATGTGCATGGCGCTCGTGCCTAAGCATCTTCGGCACAACAAGCTCGGTGCCAAGGCGATATGGGCTGTGCACTTGGGCATGGCTCAAAACAGCAAGGGGTGGCTTCTTTGGGATCCATTCACCAAGAAATTCTTGGTGAGCAAGGACTGCAAATTCATGGAGAATCTGATGTACAAGGATTGGAAGGCGGAGAATGAGGAGAAGATAGGCATGCGGTTTGGGGAGGTGAAGAGTTCCGGTTTGGAGCATGTGGAGCTGCCTTTGGAGCTGAGCAGCGGCAACACCACCACAAGGCAATCTTCCCTTGTGAATGGGGGAGAGGATGCCAAGGATGCAGAGGAAGAAGAGGAGGAGGCGCAGCAAGTGAGCGAGCGTGCACCGACACTTCCTTCTCGCGCTACGAGTGCTCCACGGATCCGAGTCACCCCGCAACAACGCCATGAGAGCCTTCATGTCCCTGCAGCTGAGGAGGAAGGAAGGGGCAAAAGGAGAATACAAGCCCCTAATAGGCTGACCTATGATGCATTGGGAAAGCCACCCAAGTCAGCTCTGGCCGGAGCGGCACTTATAGTTGGAGATGACGAGGAGAGTGACTACGAGGAGTGTGCCTTCGCGTTCTTCTCTCCGGTGGAGATGCCGGGGGAACCAGCAACTCTCAAGGAGGCCTTGGAGAGTAGTGATGCTGAGGAGTGGAAGAAGGCAATGGAGAGTGAGCTGAAGAGCATTGAGGAGAACGGCACGTGGGAATTGGTGGAGCTACCGGAGGGGCGTAAGGCGATTACGTCCAAGTGGCTCTTCAAGATCAAGTCCGACACCGACGGCAAAATCGAGCGCTACAAGTCTAGGCTTGTGGCCAAGGGGTACCAGCAAAAAGAGAAGGTGGACTATAAGGAGTTGTTTGTTCCTGTGTTGAAGCCGACTAAGCTGAGAACCCTACTCGCGGGAGCTACCATCAAAGGATGGGTGGTGAAACAAATGGACGTGACAACCGCGTTCCTCAACGGCATTCTGGAAGAAGAGATTTTCATGGCGCAGCCAGAGGGGTTTGATGATGGTAGTGGCAGAGTGTGGAAGCTGAAGAAGGCGCTCTATGGGCTCAAGCAAGCCCCTAGGCAGTGGTACTCGAAGCTGCGTGAAGTCTTGGAGGAGATCGGGTTCACTCCCTCATCCGCCGATCATTCCTTGTTCATGCTTGGCGAGGGGGAGCAGAGGAGTTTAATGGTGGTTTATGTGGATGAAATCCTCATTTTCTCACCCTCCTTTGACCTTGTGAAGGAGGTGATGCTGAAACTTCAAGACAAGTTCATGTGCAAGGCCCTTGGTGACGTGAGCTTCTACCTCGGGCTTCACATTGAACGCGATGTGGAGAAGCGGTGCATGCGGGTGCATCAACGAAAGTACCTGGAGGCATTGGCTGCCAACTTTGGGCAGAGTGAAGGCCATGTGGCTACACCCTTTCCCTCTGGATTCAAGTGTGTGAAGGAGGAGAGCGTTGGTGAAGAGGAGAGGGGTCGTTTTCACTCGTTGGTGGGCAGCCTCATGTACGCAGCGGTAAACACATGACCGGACGTCGCGTTTGCTACCAGACACTTGGCTAGGGTTGTTCAATGCCCTAATGAGGAGCAGGTAGCAGCTGGAATGTGGGTGGCCAAGTATCTTGGCCAAACACCGACCGTTGGGCTGCAATACTTGACGGCGGCGCCAAGGCGCCAAAAGGGCGCGGATGGTGTTGAACCCGGGCGTTTGTTCCTCACCGCATTCTCGGATGCTTCTTATGCATCGGAACCAGAGGACATGACAAGTGTTGGAGGGTTCATTTGATGTGTTGGTGGAGGCCCAACTGCTTGGGAGAGCAAGAAGCAGGTGGATCAAGCATTGAGCTCGGTGGAGTCCGAGTACATGGCACTTTTCCGTGCCGTACGGGAGATTGTGTGGCAGCGGCGTTTGTTGGCTGAATTGGTGAAGGAGCAGCAAGGACCTACCCCACTCTACTGTGACAGCCAGGGTGCCATTGCTCTTGCTAAGAACCCTGTGTTGCATGGCCTCACGAAGCACATGAGGGTGAAGTAGCATTGGACAAGGAGCATGGTGGCCGCGGGTGAAGTTGAGTTGCGCTACGTAAAGACGACGAGGCAGCCGGCTGACATGATAACCAAGAGGCTGGTGGAGCAGCAGCATTGGAAATGTTGCAAGCTGGCTGGGATGGCTCTTAACCGAGAGAGCAAGTTCCTAAGGCCAACAATCCGAGGGGGAGTTTGTTGGTGCAACCCTACGGTTTGCATTTGGCTTGTTGTCCGTGTGCGTGCATGCGTGTGTGCATGGAATGGTATGAGGGCATGAAACAATATATATTTCATGCTTACAATAGTGTGTGAATGATGAGGCATGATTTTGAATGTGTGTGTCGAGTCAATAGCGAGTTATCGCTAGTCGCGTGTCACGTCGTCGTTTGCGTGTCGTGTGCGGTTTTCTATTTTGTCGTGTGTGGAACGTTCGGCATGTCGCAAGTGTGCGCAGCAGACTTCCAAGAACTCAAGGAAGAATTTACCTTGAAGAACCAGAGCCTTGGTTTCAAGAATCAAGTGATTTCGAAGCTCTCCAAAAGGGTAAACTTTAAGATGGTGAGAATAGTTGCATTACTTTGTGTAGTGTAACATTTCTCTTGGTGTAGGCCCTTGTGGAGGGTAGTTTCGAGACCCTTCGTGGTTGGGGACAGTGTGGCACTATTCCACATCACTGTACCTCGGCTCTTGGGGTTTGTAGGAGCTGGGAGTCATTCGCAACTCGTAACTCTTCCTAATTTGTGTTCTAAGACTATAGTGGCTGCCATACTACCGTTCGTTCAAACCGACGCTGTGTCGTCAATTATTTATGAAATCGTGCAATCTAAATTGCAAAGTGTAGGCGACGTCACAACGCTCCAGATCCAATTTGAATCAAGTCATTTGCAGCTGTGATCATAACGCTATCAACGTTTGAAGGCGCTGCGCAGAAATCCGTCTGTGCACTCTATCTTTCGTTTTAGGCACATTCAAGCCTATTGTGACTATAACAAGTTGTTGCTGCATGCCTTATGAACGCCTGCGTCTGAACGTCTGTGGTGCCCTTACCGCCTATCCCGCACGGTCCAGCGTAGCCTGCGTGCTCCGTACAGATACTGCACTTGAAAGCAGGGAGACCATAAGCACTTTTTAGCAAAATAAGCCACGAAAACCGCTCCAGCCACTCGCTTTTGTCCTTATAAAGAGCCTCGGCGTAAATCGCATCAGAGCCTACCAGTTTAGAAGGCCTGGGATCAGATGGCGATACCTGCGTGCCTGCGATCACGTGCAACGACCGTTGGTCGGCTGGTGATGGCGGAGTAGCTCCAACGTTACCGCCCTTTGTGAACCATGGAAGCATTGACTACGTGTATCTGGCGTTCTTCTTAGTCAACGGTACTACCGCGGTTTTTTCAACAGAAGGCGAGGAGCTGTCTTGCTCCTTCATTGGCGCTGTAGGGAATGCACACAACCCCTCATTATCAATGGGTTCGAACAGAATACAATCGGGCGGCGCGATTGCACGTGCCTTTCCATGGTTGTCAACTTGCGCTAGGCTAGAGAAAAGCAGATCCAGGCTGGCGGACGACGATGCGCATCATCGCCTTGGTCGCCATTATTTTCCATTTCGTCCTGGGGGTTCGGCATAGCTTGCAGCACTAATAAACATCATCTAACGAAAGGTACGAGTCAAGAAAGAGGATTGCCAGAGCATAACCCTAACACGACTGACTGCCTCTTGGTACACAAGGCAGAAACGCGAGGAAACCCCATGCGGATAAAAAGCATGGAGCGGAATGGGAGCCTGGATGGCAGGTAACACGGCTGGGCGGCGTGGATGCAACCCATCATGGGAGCATCAGTGCTTGCCAGCACGACATAGACAAAACACGCCACAGGTTCAAGCAATGGGACAGAATGTCAAAGTTACACACAAGAATGAATGAACTATGAATGAGTTGGGTACAAGTACTAATCCTAGTTGGGTTGTACCTCTTATGGGCTACCCCACTACAACCTACACAAATGTATAAGCTATAATGTTCTGACACAGAAACCCTCGCATCGTAGCCTGCCAGCATCGCTGTGTTGCAACCTTCTCATTGGTCATCCCACATGATGCCGCAAAATTGGCCAATGATCTGACCAATTGCGCCAATAAAGCAACCCTCAAAGTGAATAACACGGGGTGAAATTGTCAGGTAATCACCGCCAGGCGGTGCTGACACTGCGGGAATTTGAGATTCCCTGTACTTCTAGGCAAATCCACTCGGAACGTTTAGAAATCACATTCAGTGTCAATTTCGTTACAACGTAGTGTCAGTAGATCTGCACTGTGGATGCCCGATTGATCCTAGGGGGGTTACAGGCGCGTTCGCCTTGGGTGTTATGGGCGCACTCTGACCCGCTACTTAACAAGCCCTTTTATCCCAGTGGTCTAGTGACTGGGATTCTGACATGGTATCAGAGCGAAGGTCTTGGGGTCAGCGACAGACTCCCAGGTTCTCACACACAACTACTTAGTTGTACCTTTTACCGCAGTCGACAATGGCCGCTCTCGCCAACGCCACTGTGCTCCCGTCCACCTTCGTCGGCCAGAGCGCTGAGCTCGCCGCCAAGGTGAACAATGTCGAGGCCCGCGTCACCATGAGGAAGACCGCCAAGGCGGCTTCCAGCAGCGCCTTCTATGGCCCCGACCGCAACCTGTTCCTGGGCCCGTTCTCCTCCTCCCCGTCGTACCTCACCGGCGAGTATGCCGGCGACTACGGCTGGGATACCGCGGGTCTGTCCGCTGACCCCAGTGTGTGCACTTCGGGCATCCCAGTGCGGGGGGGTGTCAGTAGATCTGCACTGTGGATGCCCGATTGATCCTACGGGGGGTTACAGGCGCGTTCGCCTGGGGGGTTATGGGCGCACTCTGACCCGCTACTTAACAAGCCCTTTTATCCCAATGGTCTAGTGACTGGGATTCTGACATGGTGTCAGAAAGGTCTCGGGTTCGAATCCCGGTGTATGCACATGTAGGCCGTTGCCGCTGTGCTCAGTCCTGGGCCTCCCAGTGTGGGGGGGTGTCAGTAGATCTGCACTGTGGATGCCCGATTGATCCTAGGGGGGTTACAGGCGCGTTCGCCTGGGGGGTTATGGGCGCACTCTCACCCGCTACTTAACAAGCCCTTTTATCCCAGTGGTCTAGTGACTGGGATTCTGACACGTAGTGGTATTAGTATGCCTAAAAAAAAAAGCCTGGAAGTTCAGTCTCATATGGCAAAATAAGGCTAAAAAACAAGTATCATAAAAAGCTCAACACTGAAAGTTCCGTGTGTCAAGATAAGAAAACGTAAGAATTGAGTAAGAAAAGTGAAAACAAGCAAGATATATCGTATGAAACCTAACCCTAACCCTAACCCTAGGAAATATATATGTAACACCTCGACTAACATAACTAACACATACAAAATATATGTTGGCACACCCCCATAGTTTAGGTGACGGTACCAAAGTCCAGTGAAAAGCAACACAAATCCCCGGGTGGAGCTCAAAGTCACCACACACTCCGAGAGCAAGCAAGAGGCCACAAGGCCAGTCCACATGCATGTATATAGCAAATATAAGGAGATGCAAGAGTACAAGACAAGCAGGACAAATCATCTCTACGTAAGCAAGTGAGGACGGGCAGGCACAAGGGCAAGCTGAGTGCAGCAACGCTGGTGGTCACAAGGCGGCAACGCCTTGGTGAAGATATCTGCCGTGTTGGCCTCAGAGACCACACATCGTACGAGTGCCTGGCCACGCTGCTGCAACTCACGCAGAAGGAAGCAACAAATCTGGATGTGCTTCGCTTTCCCAACCAGTCGGTGCTCCTCACACAACAGGACAGCAGACCTGTTGTCGGCGAACAAGACTGGGGGAGAGGGAGGCCGCTCACGGTCGGTGAGAAGGAAAGACAGCTAGCAAAGCTCCTGAGCGACCATGGCCGCAGCGTACACCTCTGCCTCACAGTTGGAACTGGAGACGGATGACGCCCGAGTCGACCGCCATGAAACAACACCTGTCCCAAGGCTAAAGGAGTACCCCTGTATAGACCAACGTGTCTCTGCATCATCAGCCCACGAGTCCAAGTAACCTGTGAGTGTAATTGGCTTCTTCCCTCCAAGGACAAGTCCCATGCCGGATTTACTCGCCATATACTTTGCCACCCCCTTAAAAGCGTACCAGTGGGACGGTCGGTGTCTCCCAGGCGCAACAAAGAGCGCAAGGACGCTAAGAGGGTAAGCTAGGTCAGGGCGATTACAGATCATCAGGTACATGAGACAACCCACCAGCTCAGGATATGGACCACTTGACTCAAATGACTCGTCCGAAGGTGGAGCCGTGAGCCCATGATCCACAGCAAGAGGGGTGAGCTGTACCTTGGAGAACGGGAAGCAAAACCGCGTAAGGATCTGCTCGACCATATGCGACTGAGTCAACGTAATGGTGCTAGCTGCCCTATCCCTAGTGATCTGCAGGCCAAGGTGGTGCTGCAGCTCACCAAGGTCAGTGCAAGTAAGCCTCCTCTGCAGTTCCTCCTTCATGGAGGCCAGCGCGCGTCGACCAGGAGTGGCGAACACCAGGTCATCGACGTAGTCCAGGAAAAAGAACGGAGTCGAGCCACGGTGGACGAACAGTGACGGGTCGGCAGACGACGGAAAGAAGTCAAGCGCTGCAAGGGTCGAGCGAAGTGTGTTGTGCCACTCACGTGGAGCCTGACGCAGGCCGTAGACCGGTCAACGCAGCTACCACTGGGTCCTAGGTGGGAAAGAGCCAGTGAAGCCAGGCGGGCGACGCAGCCATATCTGCTCGTGCAGGCTCCCCTGAAGAAACGCGGTGGAAAAGTCCAAGGAGTGCAACTCGTAGTCGCGCTGGGCTGCAATATGCAGCAACACCTGAAGAGTACTCATCTTCGGGGTGGGAGCAAAGGTCTGGAAGAAGTCCACCCCCTCTCGCTGACTGAAGCCTCTTGCCACATAGCGCGCCATGAACAGTGGTGGTGATCCAGGTGACCGCTTCACCTTGTAGAGCCATCGGCCACTGACGACGTTCGTTCCAGGTGGTGGGACTGCGTCGATGTAAGTGCTTGTGGACCTATAAGATTCCATCTCTGCCTCCTCAACTACTATCCAATATGAGGCCCAAGGTCCCGAGACCGCCTCAGCGTGATTGCGAGGGATCGGGATGTCAAGGGCGTCTGGATCCCCCTCAGGGGCAAGCAGCATGGCGCAGAGATGAGGAACAGCGCCCGCAACGGGTAGTCGAACTGCCTGTCCTCTAGGACCTCCAGGGGAAAAACAGGAGCACCCCCAGAGGACGGAGAACGAGCAGGGCCACTCACCAGGTGAGCGGCGTAGTCAAGGCGGTGGGAAGAGGCAAAGCCAGTGACAGTGGTAACAAGTGCTGAGACAGACGACAGGGGTGCAGTCGGGTGAGTGACCAACGCGGACAAAACATGAGAGACGACATGACGGGAGGCATAGAGGTAGTCGGACAACGGGTCGTGAAGCACAATGAGGGACAAATCAAGAGGCTGTGGAAGGACTGGAGGAGGTGGAACACGAGAGCAGAGAAGAAGGTGAAACGGGCCGTCTGCACGGTAACGAGACAGATGTGGCTCTAGAGACACAGCACGGCTGAGGGGAGAACGACGAGTCCACTAGGACGAGGAAAGGGACTGGACGGAGGGAACAGGAGGGGACGGTAGGGGACCACGAACCAAGCGTGAAGGTGATGGGTCAGGCAAAGGTCGCAGTCGCAATCGCTGCTGCTCCGCCTCCTCTGGCGTCTGCTGCGACGGTACCTGCCTCTGCTGCTGCTCCTATGGATCCTCCTCTGCCCTCTCCTGCTATGGCTGCAGTTGCACCCACTGCTGCGACTAGGACTCCTGTGCTACCCTCTCCTGCTGCGGCTGTGACTCCTCCTCTACTCTCTCCTGGTGTGTCTGCAAATGCACCTGCTGCTAAGGGCGGGACTCCTGCTCTCCCCTCTCCTGGTGTGACCATGACTCCTCCTCTAATCTCTCCTGCCATGACTGCAACTGCACCCGCTGCTGCACTCGTGACTCCTCCTCTACTCTCTCCTGCTGTGGCTGCAACTCCACCTGCTGCTGCAGTCGTGACCCATCCTCTGCTCTCTCCTGCTACTGCCGTGGCTCCTCCTCTACTCTCTCCTACCGCTGCGACAGTGTCTGCTCCTGCTCCTGCTCCTGCTGCTGCTGCTGCTGCTGCTTCTGCTGCTGCTGCTGCTGCTGCTGCTGCTGCTGCTGCTGCTGCTGCTCTGCCCTCTCAAACCGCTCACGCTCATCCCTCTCCAACCGGAGGAGACGCTGCTCACGGGTCAGGAAACGTACAGTGCGTGGTGAAGGCGCCACAGTGCCAGTGCCTCCAGCTCCAGCACCCCCAGAACCAGCACCTCCACCACCGATACCCCCCAGTACCTCCCACCTCGAGTACCTCCCGCAGAAACACCCCCTGGCTCTGCAGCAACCGGCCGCAGAGAAGAACGAGGAAGGAGCGGGACGGACGGGAAGCCAAGGGGTGACGCGGGGCAAGGCCGCCGACTCGAGGCTGCCATGTCCTCCATGGGAGTGACCTCCGCGCCCACACCCCCTGCACCCCCAGAACCGACACCACCAGCTCCAGCAGCCCCAGCACCCTCACCCTCCAAAACTGCACCTCCCGCACCCCCAGACGCAACAGGGACTGTACGCTATGGGGGGGACGACTGTGGAGTGACGTGCGACACACCTGATGGGGCAAGACGCGAAGGGGGGGGGGGGGGGGCTACTGGGGCGACTGGAGGAGGCTCAAGGGTGAGGAATGTTGTGCCAAATCACTATAGTGGCACGGTCATCGCACTCCCATTCCACCTACAAGCTTGCTCAGATTCTGGAATTTTGTGGGGAGGTGCTTCAACATTTGTTCTTCGGACCCTCAAATTTTCAGAAATTTTGAAGCAGTTTACCAGGCATGGCAACATTTTTAGTTCCAAGACATATGGCATCCTGGAAGTGTGTGTTACTCTTTTTTGGTAACACCCGAGTTCACCATTTCGGCTGCTGACTCATCTACCAAGCTCTGAAATGTCTGAAAATCCGTGTGGCAGTTCTTTGCCGTGTTTTTCAGGTGGTCACTGAGTTTCAGGACAACCCAGCATCGGAGCAGCACGTGACAGCTGTCGAAAGTTACTGTTCCGTGGTCATGGTGCACTGTTGGCAGCATTTCCCTTGCCACCCTTTCATTGTTGTCATGCCAATGGTGCAGGGACACAGAATGAGACAAGAAGTACAGGTGGTCAAGTGGGACTCTACCACCCTCCTTTTGAGAAGCGTGGTCTTCCTGGAAGCAGCTTGCAAGAGGGTGCAAGTGGGAAGACAAGCTGACTCATGGTTGGCTTGACTCACTATTGGTAGCCTTGAGTACAGCTCTGAACATCCAAGTGTGGTTGGCTTTGCTGACCCAGCTAGGACGTTTCCCATCCTTCTCTAGCCTATCTCCCCTAGGACTCAACCTTTTCTGAGTTCCCAGGATGGTCCCAACCCCTTAAGAGTCCCCTAGGCAATGTTGTACCCACCTCTTCCTTGCATCAATGAAACTACACGTTTTCAGCCGAGCTTACTTTTTCGTTCAGTGCGTAGCGCATACACCTTTGATGAAAGCAAATAATAGGGCAGCTCTCAATCTCCTTGGCTTCCCCTTTCACCTCCAACCCCTTCAAGCTCCCATCCTTCACCAACTTCTGTAGCATAGGAAAATTCACATGGCATAGCCTCTCATGCCATGTCTCCCAATCGACCTCACCACTCCCAGATGACTCCTTTGCCCATGCAGCTGTCCCATACATACCAGCAAGCACCTCACCATGTGGCTGCTGTGGCTACTGCACCTTCTTGAGTGCATCAAGGGCCCCAACAATTGGTGCAGTCTCCTCTCCTCCCGCAGTTTCTTTAGCCGCTGCCACTGCCGTTGCCGTTGCTGGAGGTTTCCCATTCCAAGGGATGATGGGCAGCTACCATAGGTCCTTGATGAAGCTGCTCTTCTCCTCCA